CTGAGTTAGCGCAACCAGTCGAATTAGAACACACTCTTGGATATTAAAATGCACTCGACCATTACTGACTGAAAATAAGTCGAGCAAAAAAAAAAAAGAAAGTTGACCAAGGGAGAATGGACAACAACCCACTAACGTCACTAACCCCACACACATCCAGCAGGCCTGCAACTGCCTGCTTCTGAAGGTCAACCAGATCGGCTCCGTCACTGAGTCCATACAGGCGTGAGTACAGACTGAACGCAGACAGAACTTTATAATTCCAAGGTAATGAAATGTGAGCGCATCTTTTTTTTTTTTTATTATTATTATTATTTTTTTATTACCCTCTGCCAAATTTAATTTTCTAAATTAAGTTCAATATTTTAGTATAATTTTAGTATATATTTTAAAGGGTCACGAAACGCCAAAACACATTTTTTGAGCTGTTGACAGTGGTATATGTGTCCCACACTGCTATAAACACTATTAGGACACCTATATTTCACTAAAAGTGTAAATTGGTTGTTTTTGCGTTATTTCAAGCAAATTCATACTTCCTGTTTGAAACTAATTTTTGAAGCTGCGTCACGGTCATGACATAATAGCGTGTATTCCAGCGTGCAGACTGGACGTCTGTGCCAGAGTGTGTCTTATTACGTCTTACAGTGTGCTGCATTAATGCATGAGTAAGGCTTGGTTCAAACCAATCAGCGCGCTCTATTGTGCACCTTCATTAATATTCATTACTGTCACAGTGTTTACATGACAGAGACGCCACGTTGTGTTGGCAAAACAAGCGTGAAGTGTTGCTTTTATAGTTTGCTGCAGTGAAGTTTTGTTTTCATTTTCTCTCTGTGAGAGCTCAGCTGGAGTCACGTGTGGATTAACAGTGTACGCGACGCTCGACAACAATAACTTACGTGTCTAAGGAGGATTATTGTTTACCTGAGAGCTGTTCTCATCTGCAAACGCTGAGATCCGGATTCGCTTGTAGTCTCCTCTTAATAAAGACGCGGCTCTAGTTGCTGGTGATTGTCCTGTCTCTACAGATTTGGTAAGTGAGCGACCAGTGCTCTTTGTTTACTCAGTTTGTTCGTATCGAATTAAGTTAACTATTGCACTGAGTGCAAACATGTTAGCACTGCATTTAGTGACCGGAATAACACACGCGGCTTTCTGACGCTACCTGCCGTGTGCATCTAAGTTTCTGGGAAATGCGGAGGGTTTATTTTCTCTCATTCGCCGTGCGGTATCAAACATTGCATGAAAAATACACGCTTGGAGCAGTTCCTCGAATCAAATATCTCGTTTGTCACGAGGGACATGAATGAATTCCCTGAATGAAAGAGCCAAACTGCAGTTAAAGTCCACCATTTAATAATTTGGCAAATAATTCGACTACAGATGTCCATGTAGGTTAAACACCATCACTTTCTCCTGTGTGTATTTTGACTGAAACTCGCGCGTGCCCAAATAGACACTCCCACATCCTCCCACTTTAGTTCTTCTGACACTCCCCCCTAAACAGAGCTGGACACGCCCACTTTTCTGACTTTTTCCAAAGTGGAGGTGTGAAAACACCCTGCTGAAACGAGGGGGTTTCATGGCCCTTTAATGTATAATTTTTTTTATTGTGTTTTTTTTTTATTAATTTGATTTTATTTATTTTATTTTGGTAATTTTTTATTTTGATAAATATATAATTATTTATTAATTTTTTTTACATGTTTTAAATGTATTCAATTTATTTTACATTAATAAATTAGTCTTAGTTTATTTTAATTTAAAAAAAAATATTTAATTCTGTTTTATTAAGTAAAAAAAAAAAAGAAAAGTTGACCATGTCATGTGTTTAAGGGAGAATGGACAACAAAATACTAAAAATCAGACAAAGTGGTAATATGCCAAGGAAGTATTGCAGTTTTTAAAGACTACAACTCAAGTCAGCGTTTTTCACGCAGAGATTCAAATTCTTTTTAATGAGTTAATTATTATTTTTTTCTGTTAGACAATCTTTTTTTATTCTCCACTATAAAAATTATTATTATTATATTTTATAAGGGATTATTTTATTGTTTCATGATGATCAAGTAAATATAAGTAGCAGTGCAAATTAATTTTACTTGTAAATATGACTCCGTAATAACTATAAAAAAAAAAAAAGTGACTTGTTTCTGTCTGATATTACATGTTCCATGCACACTGCCACTATAAATAAACATTCTTTTTTTGAAGGATTTGACATGAGGCCCTTCTCTTGGTTTGCAAAATTTGATGTGGCCGTTGGGTCTAAAAAATTAGCCCACCGCTGCTGTAGGGTGTATGCTGAAGCATGCAGGACTTTTAATTTGTCCGTAACTTGGGTGAACTGTATGCCATTAGAAAATCAGTGCGTTTAAGGTTTGTTTTCTTCAAAAATCAACAATCTTCACTGCCTAAATGATATCCAATGTAAAGGGGGTCTCGGATTGTACAAGAAGCACTGCATTAAGTTACGTTTTTCCTTGCCATGTCTCCAGTATTTACTCCAGTATTTTCAATGGTGTACCGGTGCTCATCTGCTGGTCCTTACGGGCGTTCTAAAATGAATGAAACTAAATGAATGCTGAAGTCTATTTAACTGATTATATTTTAATTGCATTACAACATCCATGCTGTAACAGGAACCGGATAAAATTTAAAGTCACAATCCCCATTCACTGGAGGTTTATCAGCATGGGAAGCTCTGCATTTACCCTACTCAAAGAAAAATGTTTGCATCTACATTTAGCCTGAAAGTAAAGTCAAATAAGATTCAGAATAATGCTTGTAGTCTCCCCTACTATAATATCTGAAATGGCCCATCAGAGAATACAATAAATATCCCTCAAAATGCTGTAAACTTAAATATATTTTATTAATAAACAATGTAATTTAAAAATAAATACGTAAATGACTGAAGCATGTATTACACAAACTAACCCAAAAATGTTGACCTGCTGATCGTCAATATACAGGGGCGGACTGGGACTAAATATCAGCCCTGGCACTGTAGCCACACCAGCCCATATTACCACACCGACACAGCCCCATCCACGGACACACACATTCACTGCTTATATTGGTGCACAGATGGTGAAATAAGATAAGCAGTACCTTATGTAATATATATTTAAACCTTTAACGTATGACTGAAACAAAAACAGCCCATTTATAACAAATATATACACCAATCAGTTCATTCATTCATTTTCTTTTCGGCTTAGTCCATTTATTAATCTAAGCCCTGCTAAAAATTCAGCTTGAACCAGCCTAGGCTGGTTTTAGCTGGTTGACCAGGCTGGTTTTAGAGGGGTTTTGGCCATTTCCAGGCTGGTTTTAGCTGGTCTGGCTGGAAAATGACCAGCTAAATCCAGCTAAAACCAGCTTGACAAGCCTGGTTTATGCTGGATATAGCTGGTTTTGGCTGGACTCCCAGCTTGGCTAGGCTGGTAAAGCTGGTTTTAGCTGGTCATCTCTCAGCCTGTCCAGCTAAGACCAGGCTGGAAATGGCTGGAAACCAGTCTGGTAGTGGCCAAAACCCCTTTAAAACCAGCCTGGTCAACCAGCTAAAACCAGCCGTCGTCACAGCAGAATGAACCACTAACTTTTTCAGCATATGTGTTACCCATATGTGTAACCCAATTCACCTATAGCTCGTGTTTGAACGTGTTTGGAGGAAACATGCAAACTCCACACAAAAACACCAACTGACCCAGCCAAGGCTCGAACCATTGACCTTCTTGCTGTGAGGCGACAGTGCAACCCCCTGCGTTGCCCCCTTTCGAGACTATTTCAGTTAATTTTCTGCATTTGGCAGCGTCTGATTTTAGAGCAATCTTTTGCTTTCTCTGAGCTTTTCAGCACCACCTTTCCTTTTTTACAGTCCGTCTCTGACAATCAGCTTGTGCTGCACTTACTGTTTGTTTGAAATTCTTGGCAGATTTTAATTACGTCCGCGTAACCTCTGATTGGGTCGGACCCTCTCGAAACAGCCGGCCATTGCTGATTGGGCCAATGCTTAACATTTATTATTATCATTACTATTATCATCATCATATTCACTTCTTGCAAGAGATAAAAGCTGCCTGCATGTAAAAACAATACATATAAAAATAAAAAAGAGCACTTAATATATCATTTGCAAACTGGGTATAACCAAAAAGCATATAATCCCCAAGAGGCGACACTCTAGTGTAATTTGGTAAACATGGCGGCCGTTTTGGAATGAAAACTCCAATAGAAAAGCAGCAAATTATAAGTCTGTAAAATAAACTACTAAAAGTGTTGATGATTGTGATAGTAACTGTTGTGTTGTCATCTTTCAGGTTGTATCTCAGCTTTAATGCGCTTTTTAAATAAATAAATAATAAACAAAGCAGCTGCTTGCCGTCGCAAAAGCAATAAGATGCAATGGACAGCCGATCGCCTTCACTCCAAGATGGCGGAATCCGGGGCTGTTGCTGGGCGCTGCTGTTGCAATAGGTCATTCCAAGCTCTTTGGTATAACTGAGAAAACATCTGTGGTGACTAATCATGTCATTCAGAGCTCCGCCCCTTAAGCTCAAGCTTATTTGCATACACTTGAGCCATCCAATCAAAACGCTTTGCTGAATTAAGCCCCGCCCTGCAGTAATTATTTTTAAATGAATCGTTTCTCCCAAATGGACATCAGAAGTGGATGAAAAGATCTGCTTCATGCCTCAAATCTGCAGTGAATCAATGCCAGTGTCGCTGAATGTGTATAATGTTCAACTGCTTCTTTAAAAGCGGGCTCCGGCGCGCACACGCGCTGCTGACGTCAGAGCAGAAGGAACGCGCGGTTTTGGCGCTGAGTGTGTTTGTTGCCTGGCGACACTCATCAAGCCGAAAGACTTTCAGCACAGTGTCCAGAAACGTGTGTGTGTGTGTGTGTGTGTGTGTGTGTGTGTGTGTGTGTGTGTGTGTGTGTGTGTGTGTGTGTGTGTGTGTGTGTGTGTGTGTGTGTGTGTGTGTGTGTGTGTGTGTGTGTGTGTGTGTGTGTGTGAAATTAGTGAGTGTGATGTAGTGTCAGAGGTCAGACTGTGGCTTGTAAGTTTGGCAGGTGTTTTGCGTCAGACGGACTGTAGTGAACAGATGAAGGCCTCAGATCATCCATCACTCGACGCTCCCCACACACACTGAGGTAAAACATTTCTGACTATAGACAATAAAACGTACATTGTAGAGCTGCAGGACATTGGATAAATTTGACATTGCGACCTTATGTTTTGCTGTATTTATTCTGTGATATGAATTCATTTTCCCCAGAATCAGTTCAGTTACTGTTTATTTGTAGAAGTTATTGTTTGAAAGCAGTTTCACAAGATGTGCACATAATCAAAGTTAATGTTAACAGTTACCAAAACTATTAATTACTTATAACGTTAACCGTTAAAAGCTATTAGTTATTAGTAGGGGTGCAACAATACAGTTAGCCCACGGTTCAATACATACCTCGGTTTTTTAACACTGTGTTCGGTTTGATTCTCATGGCTTAATCATCATTAACCTGCGGTCATTCCACCCCAAAACATGACACCTGTTTTAATTAATATTATTAATTAATATTATTAATTATTATTTAATTAATAATATTATTATTATTAATTAATATTAATGAATATTACACCTGCTCAATGAAAATCAGATGATTCACTACATTAATAAATATGACAACTTGATCAGAAATCTAAAAAGGGGAGAAAAAGAGTAGGGTAAAAAAAAAAAGAGTAGACGCCGATCCGAGTTCGAACCTCACCAGAAATAATTTTTTATTTTTTTATTTTTAGTGTTAGGACATATAATACTGTTTGGGTTACTTATGTAGGGGTACATATTTTATTTTTTTGTTTGACGACTGTTACAAAGGACTGGATATAAAGCATTAATGTTCTCATATTTATGAAAAAAACATTTGAAGTTCTAAAGCAGCTGTGTCCTTGAAAAAGACGTGTTCGTGTCATTAGAAACTGAATTGGAAATAACGTTATTTTAATATAGTCAGTCGTCGACTGAGGTGGGCCGGTCTAAGGCTTGAAACTCCAGAGCTAAAAAGGAGTCCCACTCTGGCCCTGCTTGACACGTGTTTTTTTTATTCTATAGACCTTTTTCTTGGAACGCAAAATTACCCATTATGCTTTGCGTGTATGCGCAAGGAGAATGCGAAGAACTTCCGGTCGGCAGCTGATGCGTGTAAACAGTCACATTTGGACAGCTTTGAAACACATTTGGACAGCTATTTTACCTGCTTTTATCCTCTTTGAACTAATCCTGTTGTCCATCAGCAGCATCTCCTGGACTGATCATTTAAAGAAATGCGATCTAACAGGATGGAAAACAGCTGCTGTGAGGCGTTTTCCCCTCGTTGTCAGACGGCATCTTCTGCAGTTTAAATGAAGCCTCGTCATCGCTAAAGTCAACATTTTCTCTTTATTTCACATATATAACCAGCCCAAACTAATGTAATTCAGCAAAATGCTTGACACACACACATAGCCTGTACTGTGCCACTGACACACTGATTTAATAACTGTGACAAAGTGAAAATATAGGCTAGTGTCAATTCAAAATGACAGAAAAACACAAACCGTGGTGAAAACAACACACGAAATAAAACACAAACAGCTCGCGATTAGAATGAACAGCAAATCAGCAGCAGAGGATCAATAACAGACTTTTATTGCCTGTGTGAACAGCGCTTTTTTGATCTACCAGTAAAGTCGTTCCAGTAATTTTCCGGATATTTACCGGTATCACTGTGTTAAAGAGGCTTTTCACAGTAATTATTCTTAATTTCTATTATATACTACTATGTACGGTCAAGTTAAATCCTAATTAAAAATCACACATGCAAATGATAAACTTTCACTCCATTATGGTCTACCTCTACATTCATTCATTCATTTTCTTGTCGGCCCTTTTTTAATCTGGGGTTGCCACAGCCGAATGAACCGCCAATTTATCCAGCATATGCGGATTTTACACAGCGGATGCCCTTCCAGCTGCAACCCATCTCTGGGAAACATCCAGACACACTCATTCACTCTCATACACCAGACAATTTAGCCTACCCAACTCACCTGTCCGCATGTGTTTGGACTGTGGGGGAAACCGGAGCACCCGGAGGAAACCCACGCCAACACGGGGAGAACATGCAAACTCCACACAAACACCAACTGACCCAGCCGAGGCTCAAACCAGGGATCTTCTTGCTGTGCCACTGCGTCACCGTCTACCTCTTCAGTTATTCCAAAAAACAATATATGTGTAATGTGTGTGTCTGTATGTATATGTATGTGTGATGTGTGTGTATATGTATGTGTGTGTGTGTGTATGTGTGTATATGTATATATAAGTGTGTGTGTGTGTGTGTGTGTGTGTACAGAGGGTGAAGTCGTGACCTGTGGTCATTGCCAGGGAAACTCTCATCTGACGTGGAACTATTGTGTCTCACTCTCACAGGAGGAAATAGTTCCTGAGCGCCGCCCGTTTCCAGGGGGAACTTTTATAGGGGGCGGACCCTGAGGAGGTCAGAGGTCACGTCAGTCTGTTACTGTGAAGAATGACGAGCTATAAACAGGCCGGCGGCTCAATGTGGCACAAAGCGCAGAAATGTGAGTGAAGGAGATCACGTTTAGAGGCTTTCTGAAGATGCAGCGCTGAGAATTCGCTCTCATGTGACGTCTGAGGGGGCGGGGCGTCACTCACGGCAACCTGTAGCTATGTGTGACGTCACAGAGATGCTCCTTAAAACGGGGGCAGCAGCACCGCTCACACAGAGACCCGTCCTGAAGCCATACAGGACAGAACCGAAGCGCTAACGACACGATAACGTTTTCAGAAGCGTTGGACTGATATTTATTTTTGTGATCGACAAATTTTGAGAAATACTAGTTTTTTAATGAACAAAGATGGCTGCTTCATCATCTCTGAACACTCTTCTTCCTGCTCTTCTCATCTTCCTCTTCATCAGCATGATTGCACAGGTGAAGGGGCGGCCATCATCACGACGGCCAGATGCTCAGGTGAGGACTCAACCAATCATAAGAGCTGGGGGGTGTGGCTATCTGACTGATCGACCAATGACTGGGTGATGGGGAAACCTGTTCGAAAACAGACAGTGTATAGATGGTTAAATGGGTAGTAAAATGCTTTTTTTTTTGTAAAACATATTAAGGAAAGTTATATTTACGTAGTTTAATGCAAGTCTGAGTTTGAGAAATCTTTTAAAATCCATTTATTCACTGTTTTCTGTTTAATTTTTACTGATCTGTACCATAAAAGTGTCTTATGGTGTGACCACAAAAATGAAGAAAAACAGCTCTTAATAATATAGGCAGTGGCGCAGTAGGTAGTGCTGTCGCCTCACAGCAAGAAGGTCGCTGGTTCGAACCTTGGCTCAGTTGGCGTATCTGTGTGGAGTTTGCATGTTCTCTCTGCCTTCGCGTGGGTTTCCTCTGGGTGCTCCGGTTTCCCCCACAGTCCAAAGACATGCGGTACAGGTGAATTGGGTAGGCTAAATTGTCCGTAGTGTGTGAATGTGTGTGTGGATGTTTCCCAGAGATGGGTTGTGGCTGGAAGGGCATCCGCTGCGTAAAAACTTGCTGGATAAGTTGGCGGTTCATTCCGCTGTGGCGACCCCGGATTAATAAAGGGACTAATCTGACAAGAAAATGAATGAATGAATGATTTCTCTTCATTGTTGGTCACTTTTCTTCATACACTGACACTCATCTGATGATTGATTATAAAGCGTGTTTGGCATGCTGTCCCGGGAGAGAGCCCTGAGCTCATAGGATCTTCGAGCACGGAGGTCACTCCCATTTGCAAGGCGAGAGGGGAGTTTGAGCTCAGGTAGATCTGGAGTATGCATGTGCACATCGATGCTCGAGTATCGATATATCGATACTTAGAAACTTCTAATTTGGTATCAATATTTTTTTTAAGTATCGTTATTTTAACTATATTTGAAAGATTTCTGCATAACTAAATGTTTTAGCGCGGTGACGCTTTGTATACAAGATGTTACACCAATTAATCTGTGGCGGAACGACTAGAACCAGTGACGTTCTTGCTGTGAGGCAACAGTGCTAACCACTGGGCCACCGTGCCACCCATCTAGGTAGGAGGAGGAGTAGGGGTGGAAGGGGGGATTCTTCAAAATGAAGATGGCTGTGATATAGAACTGAGGGTGTTTATAGTGGTTTAGGGATCGTCTGATTGGTGAATCATAAATTAAATAATGCGGGACCAGCCGCAAGCAATCACAAACACGCGACCCTCTCGAAATTAAACGAAAATTTAAATAAAATTGTGAATAATATTTGTTTTTCCGTGATTTGTTGTACATTTCCAATAAATAGGGACGTCACACCAAGAACAACAAAACTGATGAGTTTTATATAGTAGATCCAAAAAAGAATTGAATGCAAAAACTGAGCATATTTGTTTCTTTGTCTGATAAAGGGTTAACATCTTATAATGCATTATATGATTGTTGATTTACAGACAATGATTAAAAATAATAATACTTTTACTTCAATATAATTAAAATAAATAACCCATCTATCTTATCTATCTACTTAGCTATATGATGCGTACAAATATTTCAGCAATTTAAAGTAAACAAGTTTAATTTAAAACCCAAAATTATGCCATCAGCCATATATCCCATCAGTTTTTCAGTCTCAACACTCTATAGTTTTTGAAAATATTGTTTATTAATTAATTTTTTATTATATTTTCTTTTTGACTTAATTAATCAAGGGTCGCCACAGCAGAATGAACTGCCAACTATTCCAGCATATGTTTTACACAGTGAATGTCCTTCCAGCCACAACCCAACATTAAGAAGCACCCATACACTATGGCCAGTTTACCTTATTCAATTCCCCTGTAGCGCATGTGTTTGGACTGTGGGAGAAACTGGAGCACCGAGAGAAAACCCGTGTCACATGGGGAGAACATGCAAACTCCACACTGAAACACCAACTGACCCATCTCAAACCAACAACCTTCTTGCTGTGAAGAGATCGTGCTACACACTGAGACGCCCATTTAACTTGATATAAATAGAATAATAAAAATTGTAAAAGAATATCAATACTTAATAAGACATGATGTACATAAAAATGCAATACAACACAACACGACTATATATCTGCACACATATATCTGTTATTTTTACAGATTAGTTTTATAGTTTTAGCTATATCAAATACTTCATTTTAAACTAAACAGAAATGAAAAATGCATGAAATTAAATGTGCCTATTTACTTGTTGTTTTAGTTAATTTATTTTAATTATTTAACATTTTTAAATGCTTTCAATCTCAGTCAGCTATAATTTTTCTTATGATGTCTTATCAATGTGAAACTAAAAACGGCATAATTAATTTTGCATCTTAAACATCCAATTAAATCCAATTCATATATAATGATTACTATTTTTTTTTTTCCCATTTTCTTTTCGGGTTAGTCTCTTTAATAATCCGGGGTCACCACAGCGGAATGAACCGCCAACTTATCCAGCACGTTTTGCGGATGCCCTTCTAGCCGCAACCCATCTCTGGGAAACATTATAAACTTTTATTTATATTAAAAACAACCAACAATAACAAAAAACAGAGGTAATGATAAAAACACACAAAAATATTAAGATATATAAATATATATATAAATATAAGATATTAATTAACTATAAAAACATTGACAGCCAATCACAATCCATCCTGCTTTGACTGATGTTATAAGATGTGCTTTATCGTTTTGTATAATGCATGCATTGCTTGATGGGAGTTATATTTCTTATTATTATTAAAGCCATGAGATTTCATAAGGTTCCAATACTGTAATTCTTCTCATAGCTAGTTGCTATGATAATGCTTTAATCAAGACTTTTCAGAAATGTCTTTGGTGATGAATGAAGAAAATAATGCTGGAAGAAAAACTGCTGGATAAAACATGTTTCAGTGGATTAAAGAGATTAAATGTATTTTTGGGATTGCACTGTGAGATAAAAGTTGAGTACTGGGAGCTAGAAAACTATGGGCCCTATCATACACCCGGCGCAATGTGGTGCAAGGTGCGACACTATAGTTGTTTACTAGTTTCAACTTGGTGCAGGAGTCGTTTTGTAGCACGCTGTTTAAAAAGCAAATGCATTTGTGCTCACATGTGCACCCATAGGCGATCTGATCTAAAAAAGGAGGCGTGTTGGGACGCAATGCTGGCGCGTTGCTATTTTGAGAAACTATAATAGATTTTTCAATAGACCAAAACAAAGATGGTCTATTGTCCAGCGCAGAGTGCATTAGTTGTGCACCTCGCTTACACACTGCTTAATACACACAAGAGAGCAATACACAAATATCTTTACACATGAAAAAGAATAAACATATTAAGGATATATATAGGATATAATAAGAATAGATATAGGATATAAATATAAAGGATTAAAATATTACAAAACATATTATTTTCTAGCCTACATAAATATGAAAAATCACTGCTTTTATGTCTTCTTCATCTCGGGAGGCTTTTTCAGTTCATTCATAACAATCTGCTTTTGTATAATGTTATTATTATTAGCAGTATTATTTATTATATCCATATTTATATTTGTTTTATTAAAAACAAGCTTAGATTTGTCCACCTGTCAGGTTTCAGACCATATGGGGCACAGCATGTGTTTTAGGATATAACTCAGGTTTTTGAGCACACTTCATTATTATTGTTCATTTATTCGTTTGCTGGAAATCAGAACTGAATTTAGAAAAAGTTTTGAAATGAATATTTGCGCTTAACAAACAAAATTAATTATTTATAGGCTAATTGATGTCTGCTAATTGAAGGTTTCCCTATCCACGAGAGTGAAAGTAGATAATGAGGAGGCTCATCTCTCATTCTCGGGCTGCAGATGCTCTGTTTAACTGTTTTCTCTCTAGTGACGTGTTCAGTTTTTCCACTTACAAAGTCCGTCATGTAAATAGCAAATACACCTTGGCGCGACGCAACTCACTCTTAAAGGGAATGGGAGATGAGACTCTGATTGGTTTATTCTCTAAACACACCTATAACTCATTAAGAGAATAAGCTCAACCCTGTTAGACCATGCGCCACGGCGCAAAGCAGATTTTTCTGTCCTATATTTTATATATATATATATATATATATATATATATATATATATATATATATATATATATATATATATATATATATATATATATATATATTCCGTCCTATATTAGCAAAAGTGGATTCAGACATGCCCTTAATGCTTTTGCACCCTGCGGTTTGCACTTTGCGCATGGATCATCAAAATAAAGCCCTATATGTCAAACTGCTATATATTGATATGATTTCAGACACAGATTGATGAATCCCACACATTTGAAAGTTATATTTTCATCAATCAGCACAATCAACATTGGTATCAACGAATGAATTGCATTCAGCCAGAATACATGCAGTAGAAGAGCTTGAAGATGATGAAACTGCATTAAAACCCTGCTTCTTTATTTCTCCACTGTTTGTGTGTGTGTGCAGGTTCTGCAGGATTTATTCGGAGCGGAGATCGGCTCCCTTGTATTGGCTCCTGTCGAGATCACAGAGGGCTCCGCTGAGGCCCCGCCCCCCTCACAGAGCCATGATGGCCACCGGCCGCAGTCGCCCCGTGTGCTGCTGGACATCCTCAGACAGCACAGGAAGCTGCAGGGGCGCAGCAGGAAGGGTGTAGCCCGGGGGTGTTTTGGGATGAAGGTGGACCGGATCGGGGTCATCAGTGGACTGGGCTGCTGACACACACTTGTACACTCACTCAGGTGTACAGCCGTTCATGTTTCGTCTGTCCTAAATGACACTATTCACCATGTAGTGTGAGAGTTTAGTGCAGGGGTGTCCAAACTCAGTCCTGGAGGGCCGGTGTTCTGCTGAGTTTAGCTCCAGCTCGCTTAAACACACCTGTCTGGAAGTTTCTAGTATATCTAGTAAGAGCTTGATTAGCTGATCCACTGATACAAATCCACTGTTTGTATCTGGATATTGGCATGTAAACGTGTTCAGGTCAGGACCTTTATCAAGCGTGTGAATTTTGAGGCAGATCTGATAATGCATGCCTGAGTTATAACGACTTCCTATTTTGTGGCGAATCATCAAAGTTTGCGAGGCCGCCACGGACACGCCCATCGACGAAAACTCTAAAGCTTCGCAATTTAACATCGCCAAGGCCTTTAGATGACAAAACCCAATTTTGGTGTCGATCGGATAAAATCCCTAGGAGGAGTTCGTTAAGATACAACGCCTGGAAATGGCAAAAACGCTACTTTTTCGTCGCAGGAAGTTAAAAATATCTGACTTCCTGTTGGGTTTAAGATATGGCTCCAAGAGACTTTTTCGTATGTTTTGGTGTGTTTGAGGTTTGTGCCAATTTTCGTGCATGTGCGTGATTCGTATATCGGGGGCTCGTCCGTATAATTTTTCTAGGTGGCGCTGTCGAGTCATTTTGCCACACCCATGAAGGTGTGTTTGATTAGGGTTGGAGCTAAACTCTCCAGGACACCGGCTCTCGCTAGAATTGAGTTTGGATACTTCTGGTTTAGTGTCACCTTAGAGGCTGCGTTCCACTCCACACACAACTTTCCCTTGCCTTGATCCCTCTGGGAATCCCTGCCACTCTTTTAAAATGCGTTTCAGTTCAGGTGAACGACATTGAAATATCCTCCACCCTTCAATTTCGAGGGAGCGAGTCGGCTTCATATGTCCACTCCCAGAATGCAATGCCGTTGTGATGTCACAACAGTGTCGTTCTAATGTGCTCAAGGGTTTAGGGCACTCCATTTGAACCCATTCAGATGCTCCGCTAGTAGTGGACACTTGTGTAATGTAATCAATGACGTACATCTGAGTGAATGAGACAAAGGGAAGCGAGTGAGGGCCAAAAAAAAAAAATGTTTAACAGTCATGTTCTCCTCGTGTTGGCGTGGGTTTCCTCCGGGTGCTCTGGTTTCCCTCACAGTGCAAACACATGCGCTATAGGGGAACTTATTAACTAAATTGGCCATAGTGTTTGATTGTCGGTGTGAATGCAAGGGTGTTTGGGTGTTTCCCAGTGCTAGGTTGCAGCTGGAAGGGTATTCGCTGTGTAAAAACTAAGCTGGAATAGTTGGCGGTTCATTCCGCTGTGGCGACCCCTGATTAATAAAGGGACTAAGCCGAAGAAAAATAAATAAATGTTGAACAGTTGACAAATTCGTCATTAGTACATGCGTAGCTCCTCCACCTCACCAATAGCCCCTCCCTTTCATTCTTAGCCCTTCCCCTTTGTAAGTACCTCCTCCTTTTTACCAGAAGCCCCACCCCATTCATCATCAGCTCCTCCTCTTCATTAGAAGCCCTGCCCCTTCACACATAGCTCCTTCCTTTCACAGTAGCACCCCTTATCCAGCATATTTCACACAGTGGATGCCTTTCTAGCTGCAACCCAGTATTGGGAAACACCCATACACACTCATTCTCACTCACACTCATACACTACGGCCAATTTAATTAATCAATTCCCCTATAGGACATGTGTTTGGACTGTGGGGGAAACCGGAGCACCCGGAGGAAACCCACACCAAAACGGGGAGAACATGCAAACTCCACACAGAAACGCCAACTGATCCAGCAGGGACTCGAACCAACGACCTTCTTGCTTGATTGTGCTACCCACTGCGCCACCGTGTTGCCAATGTGAAAATGAGTGAAGATTAATGATGATTTCACAGGAGGGCGAATCATTAGACCTGACTGTGTGTTTTACTGATGCTCTGTGTGTGTGTTTGTGTGCAGGTGATGATGAAGGTGAAGGTGTGTGTGTTGGTCAGTGTTCTTCTGTCCTGCTGAACATTCACGCAGCGCTCCTGCAAACAGCCCACAGTCCTCCTGACAGACCATAATACACTGACTGAACTGCACAACTCGGCACTGAACGCCTGTCTTTACAAGACCATGAGCTTTCCTCAGAACAGTGTGTGTGTGTGTGTGTGTGTGTGTGTGTGTGAGAGAGAGAGAGAGAGAGAGTGTGTGAGTATCGTGAGTGAGTGTGAAGAAACTGTGAGTGTGTGTGTGTGAGTATTGTGTATTTATTGTGTATGTGTTTAAGAATTGTCGCCTGTGTGTGTGAGTGAGTGTGTGTGTGTGCACATATCCATGCATGTATGTGTGAGAGAGATGTGTATCTATTGTGTGTGTATGTGTGTGAGTATTTTGTATCTATTTGTTTGTGTGTGTGTGTGTGTGTGTATGTGTGTGTTTGACCTCTGACTGATTTTCCAGTCAGTTTTAAAAATCTTGTGTGTGTGTGTGTGTGTGTGTGTGTTTGACCTCTGACTGATTGTCCAGTCATTTTATTAATCTATGCACACATTTGTGTATATTGTGTTTTGTAAGGTGTGTGTGTGTGTGTGTGTGTGTGTGTGTGTGTGTGTGTGTGTGTGTGTGTGTGTGTGTGTGTGTTTGACCTCTGGCTGATTGTCCAGTCAGTGTTTCTTCCTCTGGTTTGTCGTGTCTGACGTGACAGATCTTCTGTCCAGATTTGATCATGAGTGTGAACATGGTTCTCAGCGTCTATAACTCCAGGATAAACATATTTGTGTGTCAATAAATGTTATTTAACATCTACATTTAATCTGTTGCTGCAGTTCATCTAAAACATCTCAGGTATAACTCCTCCTGATGACAGTTTGACTCGCATAATCAAAGGAAAATCATCACATTCTTACAGGATTTTGCGTCTTAGTTAATGCTAAAGTACATCATTTATTCCTTGTATTTTGGGCTTAGTCCCTTTATTCATCAGGGGTCGCCACAGCGGAATGAACTGCCAACTATTTCAGCATATGTTTTACACAGTGGATGTCCTTCCAGCTGCAACCAGTACTAGGAAACACCCATACACACTCATTCTCTCACACACTCATACATTACAGCCAGTTTAGTTCATCAATTCCCCTATAGCGCATGTGTTTGGACTGTGGGGGAAACCGGAGCACCCGGAGGAAACCCACGCCAACACGGAGAGAACATGCAAACTCCGCACAGAAACACCAACTGACCCAGCCGGGACTCGCTCTACCAACTGCGCCACTGTGACGATCATTTCAAGTATACAAAATAGGATCAACAATCAGCGGGCATCTGCTGTGTAAAACATATGCTGGATAAGTTGGCGGTTCATTCCGCTGTGGTGACCCCAAATTAATAAAGGGACCAAGCTGAAAAGAAAATGAATGAAATATAATATATAATATTATTTCTTATTCATTAATACAAACACGATCAGTATAAAGGAGGAAAAGTACAAGTTACATTAATCACAGTCTTACAGAGAGAAACTATGTACTTACAGGAAAGCTATTTAAATCAGAGTCTATAGATAACTGTTTTTGTTTAGTGCAGTAAATCTGACACAGTTTATTTATTGAGTTTTTGCATTTACAATTTAAAGCATTACATTACCCCTACCACAACCACAGCATTGAAAGAAAAGACAAAGGAATATATATATATATATATATATATATATATATATATATATATATATATATATATATATATATATATATAAATTCATTTTTTTTGCTTTGTTTATTTGGCAGGGAATGTGTTCATTAATAAGCGCTTCTGCAAATGCACCAGAATTAGCCAGAGGGCTATTTTTCATCTGTTGTCCCTGAACAACCTAAAAAAAAACAATACAATAATTATATGTAATAAGAATATGTCTCTGATGCTGTCAGGGACATAATTCCACTCCTATGCAGCTGTAACTAAAAAGGCACCCTGACCAAAGGTACATATATACACACACACACACACACACACACACACACACACACACACACACACACACATCATTCCAGAGTTCCTGAGTTGACAGTGAGAAAACAGAGTGTACCATATTTGTTCAGTCCATATGTTGTCATTTAACATGAGAGGCTTGGCAGCATCCAAAAGACGGAATAAACAAAAAGAGGTGCATCTTAATACAAAAAATAAAATAATAATAATAATAAAAAAACGGTCAATCACAAACCCTTCCAGATATATCAAAGTTGACAGTGAGGCAATACATTGTCATAGTTCTAGTCAATATGTTCTCATTTGACATGAGGAGTTTGGTATCATCTAAAGTGTAATATAGAAACAACATATAAGAGAACATAAAATTAAAATAAATACATTTGGCGAGGCAGTGGCGCAGTAGGTAGTGCTGTCGCCTCACAGCAAGAAAGTCGCTGGGTCGAACCTCAGCTCAGTTGTTTCTGTGTGGAGTTAGCATTTTCTTCCTGTGTTCGCGTGGGTTTCCTCCGGGTGCTCCGGTTTCCCCCACAGTCCAAAGACATGCGGTACAGGTGAATTGGGTAGGCTAAACTGTCCGTAGTGTATGAGTGTGTTAAAAGTTTGTCTAAGAACTTGCGTTTCGAGCCTTGAAAGGTTTTTGTTAAAAGATTTACAGTTTTGAATATGAAATTTAATCAACTAAATAAATAGGTTAATAACAAAAACTTCGTTATTCAGAATATCATAATTAAAACATCCAAAAATTACATTTTCAAAATGCAAATGGAAATTAAAGAGCGCCTTTTTTGATAAAAACAGAAGCATCATACCAAAGCTTTGCAGTAAGTTTCCAAATGCAAAGAACAAAAAGCGCAATTTATATCCAAATGCTTTAATTTTACTAAGAAAATGTTTAATGCCGCAATCAGAAAATAACCAAAATAAGTTCATCAACATTTTTTATTTTTTATTGGAAATAAAAAAATCCAAATACAAAAAAAAAAATGGCATCCAACTTTACAGATTGTGTATCACACCTGGAGGCCTTAACACAAAATAATATACAAAAATACAAAAAATGTAAATTACAAAAAACACTCAAACTAAAATAAAATTAAGAGTTAAAAAAACATAAAAAAGAAATCAATATAAAATAGATATCGGCTATGGCAAGTTATACAAAAATAAATTAAACATTTTAAGACAATTTTTGTTTTCATTTTAGCCAGGGCATCCGAAAAGTTCTCTTATAAATACAGTGAGTAGTGGAGGTGTTTGAATTATCTGCAATTATGAATAAAATATTTGGCTAATACAATGATCATATTATCAAATCGTGCAAAACAGAGCAATCTTTAGAAAATCCATATAGTACATCTTGTAATGTGAAAGTCAAACCTTCAGCATTCACATGCCTTATTATCAAGCAGTGCTGCACTTTTTTCCAGAATGATTGTGTAAAGCTGCAAGTAAAAAATATTTCTTTAGTGTCTTCAATTAAGTGTATAAAAACCTTTTAAAAGGGATTAATGTTCTACTTTTGCTTTGGGGAGAATTATAAATGTAAGATATGTCGTTCTAAAATATTTAACAGTATTTTTAACCAATGAATGAAATAACTTAATGAGTTTATCAACATGACAAGCGAGTTAATGGTGTGACGTCAGACGGAGGCGGGACCTGCACTGTGTCACGTGACTCCGCTGCATCTGCGCAGCTCGAGCGACTGGAACGGTACCGACTCACTTGACAAACCGCTCCGTTTACCGGCCCAGCAGCGCGATCCTCCGGTCCGTGACGCGTCCAGCAGCGGCAGCATCATGTCGGCGGTGCAGCGGATGAAGGTGGCGAACGAGAAACACAGCAAGACGATCACACAGAGAGGACACGTGCAGAAAACCACGGTACGCGCGCTCCCGCGACTCACACACACACACACACACACACACACACCTGACAGATGTACTCTCTCTCTCACACACAAACAAACAATACCTGACATACAGACAGAATATGTCTAATATATACACACACCAGATAGATACACATACAAAGACACAAATAAACATCCGTACAAGCACACAGTGCAAACACTGTACATCAACTTACATACTAACAACAACAACACACACACACGCAGAGTCCATCAGTATACACAAATATCCACATACACACTGGGCATACATTTACATACAAACAACACACACACACACACTCACTATACGTCAGTATACAAATAAACAGCACACACACTGCACATCAATTTGCATACTAGCAACTTCAACGCACAGAAACACACTCTGTTCACCAGTATACACAAACACACACATTGTACATCTGTATCCATATGAACACACACACTGTACATCAATATACATATGAACACACACACTGTACAAAAATATCTATATGAACATACACACACACACACTGTACATCAATATACATACCTGTATGAACACACACACACACTGTACATAAATATACATATGAGCACACACACACACACACACACTGTACATCAATATACATATGAACACACACACACACACACTGTACATCAATATACATATGAACACACACACTGTACAAAAATATCCATATGAACATACACACACACACTGTACATCAATATACATACCTGTATGAACACACACACACACTGTACATAAATATACATATGAACACACACACACACACACACACACACTGTACATCAATATACATATGAACACACACACACACACACACACTGTACAATAATATCCATATGAACACACACACTGGACATAAATATACATACTAACAACAAACACGCTCTATGCAACAGTGTACAAATAAACACACACACGCTGTGCACACCCTGTATATTAATTTGCATACTAACAACATCAACGCACAGAAGCACACACTGCTCATTAGTACACACTGACAACATAAACACACACACACACACTGTCTTACACATTCAGCAATAACAAATAGCTTTGGTCTAAAAATCACAACATTACTGTTCTATTCTCTGAAGTGTTACAATTATGGAGCTCCATTTGTGCCAAAAAAATGTTTCCCTGCCATTTCTCCGAGATAAATTTCTCATTTGTGAGACATTTTTGATTGTGAGGCAGAAATGAGCTTTCATTGGTCTGTGTGCTGTTTCTGCTGTACACTTGTTTGTCGTCTCGTCGTGTATTCAGATCAGTTTTATTCTCAGTGCATGTTCTGCTGCTTATTTTAAAAAGTGGTGAAGTTGAGCTTTAAATTTGTGCATTCAGACTTTCAGCTTCTTAATTTCATTTCAGAAAATAATTCTGCGCAAACTCTAAATAAACAAATCATATTAGCAGCCAATCACTATCAAAGTACGTCATTTAGTCAATAATTAGTGCTAATGTTGACTTAAAGTCATGAACACACACTCTCACACACATTCAGCAATAAAAAAGTGCATTTGATCCAAAACAAATCACAGGAGTATTTATATTATTGCTGTAGTAGTTTCTGAAGTGCAACATTTTGCAATTATGGGGTTCCATTTGTGCCAAAAATAGCAATTTTTATTTTATTTTATTTTTATTTTTAATTAATATTTTTATTAACAATTTAAGTTTTATTGATGAAGACACAGATTCAAGATGAAATAAATTCTGTTTACGTATTTTGTCCACATATAACATAGGCACAGCAAATAAGAAAAATTAAAAGGAGAAAAAAAAAAAAATTAAAAAAAAAAAAAAAACTATTTTAAAGATTATTTTTTTTCTACCATTTCTCCGAGATAAAATTCTCATTTGTGAGACATTTTTGATTGTGAGGCAGAAATGAGCTTTCATTGGTCTAACTGTGTGCTGTTTCTGCTGTACACTTGTTTGTCGTCTCGTCGTGTATTCAGATCAGTTTTATTCTCAGTGCATGTTCTGCGGCTTATTTTATAGAGTGGTGAAGTTGAGCTTTAAATTTGTGCATTCAGACTTTCAGCTTCTTAATTTCATTTCAGAAAATAATTCTGCGCAAACTCTAAATAAACAAATCATATTAGCAGCCAATCACTATCAAAGTACGTCATTTAGTCAATAAATAATGTTGACTTAAAGCCTAGATATCAGATTTTTTTGTTTTATTTTGGGAAAGATGAGAACTCATTGTTTATCAGATATTAAATATTGACCATGATAATGACCATTTACTTAAACTAATTAAATTACCCTAATAACCATAGTATAGACATGTATAGAACATATGACATGTATAGAAGTTTGTTGTACTTCTGTCAATATTTAGTTATCTGTACTGTCTGAGCGTCCATACTGCTGATGTAATCAATAGTATGTGTATTGCATGTTTAATATACCACTGAATACACTGTTCTGCTTTTTAATGCTGTGTAAACCATGAGGAGAATATATAGAAGCTGCTCAATCATACAGAGAAGGACTCAGTAAGATATAGTTTGACAAGCTGAATTTAAAGGTGCAGTATGCAAGTTTGACACCCAGTGGTTGAACTAGGTATTGCACTCCTGGTTTAAAACACACACAACAGCAAGTTGCCAGATTGACGACACCAACAAAGGCTGAGTTAAACCATGTTCCAACTAAAAGCTTTGGCATCCAATAGAAGGAAAATTTTTGTATTAAAATTCGTTTTTGTCCTAATCAACTCCTAAAATTGTTATTTAAGAACCTTCTACTACGGCTTCTATTTCTCAGGTGAACAACAGGATAAACTGACAGTGATCAGCTCAGGTGCAGCTCATGTGCTTTATTCAGTGTTAAATGCTAATAATGTGAGTCTGAATGCCATTTTACAGGACTTTTATTGCCGTACTGCTGAAAGCAGCAGCAGATAGTTCCGCTCAGATCTGGAGAATAAAACTATCACTGCGTATCTCGTCATGTAGTGTGTTATTAGGACACGGGGTTACAGTGTGACCTGCTCACCTAATGTTTACACTCCTAATATTTATATTAATTGCTAATTAATAACCTCATGTGGAACTCTGCATCTGCGTCTCATTTCGGAGTCTGCTACTGTCCACCAGAGGTCACATTTCAGTCACGGACGCATGCTTAGAGAGCCTTCCTGACTGAATGAATGAAATAGGCTGTTTTCCACCATCTGGCAACCCGCGGTGCTGAATTACAATTGGCGAAACTGGCATTGAGCAGGTTAAATGACCATAACAAAGAGCCATTCCGGCACGTAATGCACATGTTCACAGCAGAATATCTGACTGCAGCATTGTTTTTTAGATAAACAAGTATGTTAACTAAGCATGTTTCTGAATATCTGCACACATATGATGGTGTTTCTATGCTTTAGAAGAGTCAAACACATACATACAGCACCATTTTTAGCTGGTAAAAGATATATTAGGCAGTATTAATAAATATATCAGCCTAATATTTAATCTACTTGCGCAGAAATGATAATAACAGACATGATTGATGTCAAAAAATCTTATTCTGGATATCCTGCTACAATTTGGCCTCAAAAACACCTTTGTTTCAAACATACATTAGCCTTTACAGTTTTATTCATATCTATGTTCTGATTATGTACACCAAACTATAGTTTTATACACACATAAACATTATATATATATATATATATATATATATATATATATATATATATATAGTATTTTTACTTATATCAGTATTCTGATTATAGACATTATGCTTTACAGTTTTATTCATAACCATATTTTGCTTATTTACACCAAAATTTAACTTGATTGTTTAAATTCTGATTATGTTTTTAAATTGTCATTTTATTTATCTATATTCTGGTTATGTACATCATACTTTAGTTTTATTCATAACTATATTCTGATTATGCATGCAGATCACATTACAGTTTTATTCATAACTATATTCTGATTATGTACATCTTACTTTAGTTTTATTCAAATCTATATTCTGATTATGCATGCAGATCACATTACAGTTTTATTCATTTCTATATTCTGATTATTCATGCAAATTCTAGTTTTTGTCAAATCTTTATTCTGATTATGTTCGGCAAAAATGCTTTGGCAAGAACAAAGTGTGTTTATCATCATTGTATTCATCATTTTTAGCACAAGTTACTTGTTCATACACTAAAGCTGTATGTGTGTGTGTATGTGTGTGTGCGTGTCCTCAGCGTGTGGTGAATGAAGAGAAGTCTCCGGTGGGCCCGTGGCTCCTCGCACTCTTCGTGTTTGTGGTCTGTGGATCAGGTGAGATGCAATTCATAGTGTTTATTACTTCTATCTCTTGATGAATAGTGCTGCACCATACTGGAAAAATATGCAATATTGCTGTTGAGCATTGCGAAAACTATATTTCATATAATATAACATTTCCCTAGAAAAGTTCTATTTTTATTAGCCATTTTTAGAAATCATTGATTTAATGATATTAAAATAAACAGGTAAAAGATCTCATCAGTACAGATACTGCCTTTTAGTACTGAAGTACAGTAGTGAAGTAGTTCTACTTTCTTACTATACATCTCTGCCTTTAACATATTTATTTAACATCAAATTACAGAATCTAAATAACCTTAACAATGAAAAGTGTTTGTGCGTTGAAATAGTTTATGACTGTTTACATTAATATAGTGGTGTATTATACTTATATAATCAGTGGGATAAAATGATCTCAATATCGCTTTATTGTGATTGGCCAACTCAAGACCATGAATGTATATCTTTAAAATTAGGAACGCAGTATCAGCAGTTTTGAGAAACATTATATATTGTTTGTATGTTTAATCAGTTTCTTCAAATATAATCCGTAAATGTGCTTTATTAAGTTTCACTTTCTGAATAATGTGGTTTTTGTAAGATTGATTTACATAGAGTCTGATCTGTGTATGATCGTTTAGCATATTTGCATCTGCACACAAGAAGGTGTTGTCTTCCAGATCTCCAATGCAAATCCTCCGGCGTATAAGCTAAAATTAGTGTTAGACTGCCATTAAAGATTAAACATGTTGTGCTCTTAGATCATAATGCAGTGTAACGCCAGCAGTCACTAATAAATATATAATAAATGCAGATTTGCTTTTTTTTTTTTTTTTTAGTTACAGACAAAATTAATTTCTATATTTTGATTCTAAATCTAAATTATAGTTTTATTCATAAGTATATTCTGATTATGTGTAAAATATTTTACAGTTTCATTTGTATATTCTGAATATAAATGCAAATATTAGTTTTATTCATAACTATATTCTAATTATGTAGGTCATTTTACAGTTTTATTTTTATTTATATTCTGATTGTGCGAATTCATAACTATTCTGATTATGCAAATTGTATTTTTATTTGTATCTATATTCTGATTATTTAAGCAAATTGTAGTTTTTTACATTATTATGTTCTGATTATACATGCAGATTTTAATTTTATTCATAACTATATTCTGATTATGTATGCAATCGATAGTTTTATTAGTATCTATGTTCTGATTATGTATGCAGATTTTAGTTTTATTCATAACTACTGTATATTCTGATTATGTAAACAAATGTTAGTTTTATTCATAACTACATTTTGATTATGTATGCAGATTTTAGTTTTATTCATAACTACATTTTGATTATGTATGCAGATTTTAGCTTTATTAATAGCTATATTCAGATTATGTATGCACATTTTAGTTTTATTAGTATCTATATTCTGAGTATGCAAATTTTTGTTTTATTAATGTCGATATTCTGATTATGCATGCAAATTCTAGTTTTATTGGTATATATATTCTGTTTATATATGCAGATTCTAGTTTTATTCATAGCTATATTCAGATTATGTATGCAAATGTTAGTTTTATTAGTTTCTATATTCTGATTATAAATATGTATGCAAATCTTTGTTTTATTCATAACTCTATTCTAATGATGTATGTCATATTTTACCATTTTATTCTTATCTATATACTGATTATGTGTGCAAAATTTTAGTTTTATTCATAACTATAGTCTGATTATGCAAATGTAAGTTTTATATATATATTCTGATTATGATTATATATGCAAATGTTAGTTTTAATAATATCTATATCCTGATTATGTATGCAAATTTTAGTTTTATTCATAAGTACATTTTGATTATGTATGCTAATTTTAGTTTTATTTATAACTATATTCTGATTATGTTTGCAAATGTTAGTTTTATTTGTAACTATTTTTATTATGTATGCAAATTTTAGTTTTATTCATAACTTTATTCAGATTATGTGTGCTAATTTTAGCTTTTTGTCCATATTTTGATTATGTATGCAAATTTTAGTGTTATTTATAACTATATTCTGATTATGCAAATTTTAGTTTATTCATAGCTATAGACTGATTATGTATATATATGTGACATAATGTGAATTATGCAAAGTTTGTTTTGTTAATTACTATATTCTGATTATAAACATACTTTACGGTTTTATTTCATATCTTTATTCTGAAAAAAAAAAAACAATTCATAGATCATTTGCCTGATTTAAAAATATATTCCCACAAATATGTAGATTTAAGTGTTTGCACAGAACAATGTTTTTTTCCCCGTTTACAGTATTTTCTGAGCAATGAAGTAATAAGATATCAAATAAATAAAACTTTATTTAAATGTAATAGTTGTGAATTAATGAATTGTATTTGTTTATAATCAGACTTGATGAAAACAGTCTGCAGAAACACTTTGATTGACATTCTCCCTTTGTATGATGTCATCAGAGAGTCGAGCCCCGCCCAAGAGTGCCCATCTCTCCATCTCATTAGCATAAACAGCAGCCCTGAGTGAGAAGCAGCCGTCTGTCCATTAGCCATCAGAGTGTTTGAGCTGCTGAAGATAATGTCAGCATAGACTAAGAGGATTATAGAGGTGGAGTTTTAAGATGAACAGCGACAGGAGCGACATAGACTGACAGAAGCATCAAGCACACACTCACACTAAAGCACACACACACACACACACTCACAGCTGACCAGCACTCACAACACACACACTGCTGTTTATATGGTGTTTGTAGCTCCGCCCCCTTCTGAAAAGAGCTCAATCTCATTTGCTTTTAAAGCGACAGTCACCAAAACACCACAGTTAGGATCAAAGAATTAAAGTGTCAGTTTCAGAGATTTAGAAAACATGATCAGTGTGCTACTTAAAGCTCAAAATTCACACACACACACACACACTCTAGACACATCAGAGATGCATTTTACATCTTGTAAAACAGGCGGAATAGGCCTCCTTTAATTTTTCTGCTCTGTTCAATTGAATATTTCCTAAACTTGCTGGTAATGATTCACACTAACAATCTGTGCAGCTTTAATAGATCAATATGACTGTCTTCTGATTTCAGCCATCTTCCAGATCATCCAGAGCATCAGACAGGGGATGTAAACACAGAGACGAACATGGCCGCCGCTGTCAGACATCTGCAAACGCCACTCACTGATCTTCCACTGCTGTTCATCTGTTAGTTTACAGCTTATTTTAATATTGTGTGTGTGTGTGTGTGTGTGTGTGCATGCGTGCGTGCGTGCGTGCGTGCTTGCGTGCGTGCGTGCGTGTGTATTTGTGTTGGACTGTCTCAAGCTTGTGAAGGTTGAATGTTCCAGAAATGTTTATGATATGTGTCATTTGTTTGTGTTGGGTCAAGTTCTAAAAGTAATATAATGCAATCTTAAGGCACTTGAAAAAAAAAGTTATGAATGTGTTACTTAGATCACTATACACTACCTGACTGAAGTCCTGTCACCTGTCCCAGTTTAAGGATGAACAAATAATAAGTTGACTTCTAGTTAATGATTTGGTGTCAGAAGTCTCACTTATGAAAGGTAAATGCAGGACTCGCAGAGTTCATCAAGATTCTTAGTGTTCATCTTCAATGCCTCCTCCTTCATTTTAATAATGTTCATATCTGGTGACTGGGCTGGCCAATCCTGGGGCAGCTTGACGCGGAGCTTTCAGGAGCTTTGATGTGGAGGCTGAAGTATGAGAAGGAGCGCTATCCTGCTGGAGAATTGTCCCTCTCCTGTGGTTTGTAATGTCTTGATACCTCAGGCTGTTGATGTTGCAGATCTCTCGCACGCCCTCATACTAAATGTAACCCCAAACCATGATTTCACCTTCACCAAACTTGACTGATTTCTGTGAGAATCTTGGTCCATGTGGGTTCCAGTAGGTGTTCTGCAGTATTGGTGATGATTGGGATGCAGATCAACCACTTTTCCAAACGATCAACTTGAAGTCAGGTTATTATTTGCTGCTCTTAACTCTGGGATCCGCCACAAGACTTTCGTCAGGTAGTGTATACTGCATACCTGCAGGTCAGCTGTGTTCATATATTGTCCACCATACACACAACTCCTTATCTTTACTGATTTTTACTGTATTGTAATGTTTTTATAAACGGATCGGTGAAGCTTTATTGTGAAAAGCAGCATACAAATAAACTTGAAGTGAATTAGTTGCTTTTAAGGAGAGTGATGTGATTGTATGTGTTGTTGTTTTTGCGCTGTTTTTATTTATTTATTGTCTTAATGTTAAGATTGTAGGGTATTGCTTTTAACAGTAACTTTACCCGACACGGTTGGCTACAAAAGTGTGTTTTCTGTGTCACCCGATGCTCTGATCTGACCCTGGTTTCACTGTCAGCTTTCCACTGATTTGATCGACTGGTTTTCTGTAAACTCTGAGAAACGGCCGTGTGTGAATTCAGCCATCGTTAGCCATAAATGATTCTGTACGCCGTCTCTCTTCCTCCCTCTGACAGGAAATTGATGCTGTGTAATAATGATTTTATACAAATAAAAAATATTTTCTCTATCCCAACTGTGTTTTACTTGAAGTCGACGTGGACCAGCAGTTGCTGAGACTTTTACACTCGCCGGCCACTTTATTAGGTACACCTGTCCAACTGCTCGTTGACGCAAGTATTCTAATCAGCCAATCACATGGCAGCAACTTAATGCATTTAGGCATGCAGACATGTCAGTTTGGCATCAACAAGCATGGATCATCCTGCCTTGTATCAGCGGTTCAGGCTGGTGGTGGTGGTGTAATGGTGTGGGGGAGATTTTCTTTGGGTCCATTAGTACCAATTGAGCATAAACGCCACAGCCTACCTGAGTATTGCTGCTGACCATGTCCATCCCTTTATGAGCACAGTGTACCAATAGTATCTGGATGCAGCCATTATGATGCAAACTGAGCATCACTCAGTGATGCAATGTCAGACACAATGCACTCAATGGAGTGAGTGACGTCACTGTGACGGGTAGGGTTAGGGGTGGGGTTAGGTGAGCGCATTAAAAAGCATTGGATGCAGCTCATACTGCACTGCCCCAGGTCTGCATCCAGACCCATCACCGGGCGGGGGGGGGGGGCGTTGCCAATTTTGGATATAACATTTAGGATAAGTGCAAGTAGCGCATTAATTGTGCATCTAAAGAATAGCCATGTGCTGTGCTAGCAACATAATAATGTGGGTTACACACCAAGAAGTAATGTGTGTATTTATATAGTGCATTTATCATGTGTGGCCATACACCCAAAGCTCTTCCCAATCATAAGGGGGGTCTCTTCACACCACCACCAGTGTGTAGCATCCACTTGGATGGTGCGACAGCAGCCACACCCTGCTGAAAAATCCAGCTTAAACCAGCCTAGGCTGGTTGGCTGATTTTAGCTGGTCGAGCAGGCTGGTTTTAGAGGGGTTTTGGCCACTTCCAGGCTGGTTTCCTGGCTGGGACATGACCAGCTAAAACCAGCTTGTCCAGCCTAGCCAAGCTGGGAGTCCAGCCAAAACCAGCTATATCCAGCTTAAACCAGGCTGGTCAAGCTGGTTTTAGCTGCTGGATTTGGCTGGTCATTTTCCAGCCTAACCAGCTAAGACCAGGCTGGAAATGGCTGGAAACCAGCCTGGAAATGGCCAAAACCCCTCTAAAACCAGGCTGGTCAACCAGCTAAAACCAGCCAACCAGCCTAGGCTGGTTTAAGCTGGATTTTTCAGCAGGGAGGACAACGGCGCCAGTGCACTCACCATACACCAGCTATTGAGTCGAGGGACAGAGATACAGCCAATTCAGTGGATGGGGATGATTGGGGGGCCATGATGGGTAAGGGCTGATGGAGGGAATTTGACCAGGGTTACACCCCTACTCTTTTCAAAAAAGTGCCATGGGATTTTTAAAGACCACATTCGAAAAACGGCACATACTGACAGTGTAGTGTCCCAATCACTATACTGGGGCATTAGGACTCACACAGACCACAGGTTGAGCGCCCCCTGCTGGCCTCACTAACACCACTTCTCCATGTGCTCTCCCATCCAGGACCAGGCTTAGTTAGCCCTGCTTGGCTTCAGCGAGTAACCACTTTTGGGCTGCAGGGTGACATGGCTGTGTTGAAAATAACTGTGCAGACTGATGCAAATACAGTGTGGTTGACAATGAGCTGAGAATTTGGTAGGCTACCATGAAAATACTGTGGTTTTTGTTGACGTAAATTAGTGTCCTAAGGTGTGTTACTATGATTTTGATCAACATCAGTCTAGGGCGGTCATTTCTGTGAGGTAAGAACAACAAAAAATCCCCTTTTAAAATCGTTTTTACCTTGTATTTTACTCGATGCCACATTCACCTTACGTTATCTGTCTGTTAATCCATTTCTGTCTCTTTCTCTGTGCACGAGCTCGGCTCCTGCGGGCGCGCGCCTACCGTGCGTGACGTCACTGCTGTGAAGAAGATGGCGGCGCTCGTGAAGGCGGAAGGTAAGTGGCGGAATCTGTCGCCGTTTCCTTAACGGTTTCTGTCAGCGCGCGAGCAGCCGTTTGTCGGAGCTCGTTGACACGGTTCAGTTCTGTCCCGGTGCGTGTGTGTGTTTCTATTCCTCCCGCTGTAGGGGATCGTGTTTGTGTTCGTATCCCGTTTATCAGAGTGTGTGTGTGTGTGTGTGTGTCAGTCTGTCAGTCCGGGGCCTCTGGGTTTGTCATATTTACGTTTATGAATAAAATAAATGAACACGTTTGGATGGTTTTGGTGTGTGCGGTTTTGTTGAGAGACGTGTGTGTGTGTGTGTGTGTGTGTAGTGTGTGTGACTGTTATTGTTTGTTCGTGTGCAGGAAACGGTGCGGTTGTGGTTTTACAATAAACTACCATGCTATTACTGTTTATGTTCACTGCTTTTACTGTTACAATGTAAATATCACGGAGAATATAACAGTCAGCTGATGCCACAGTACAATCGCGAAGTAAATTATTTATCTGTGTGACATTAATACATTACTGTATATTGTAAATAATGTTGACACATGCTACATTGATATATGAGCAAGTCCATGCAAATGTCAACCTTTCCATGAAAATAATACGTTTTCGCCAAAATAGCAAAACTGTTTTTCTGCGTAGACTTGTATTTTACAGTGTTTTAAAAATACTCAAATATGTCTCTGTCAGTGTTTTCAAACTATTATATTTGATTTACCAAAGTCACACAAGTGGCAATTTCACACCTGTCACATCCATAACTAAGCTTTTTCCTCATAAATGCAAAAATGTAAAATCAAATAAACTCCATCATGTTCGCACTATAGTGAGACAACTCTTATCGTTTTGATTAGCTTTGTTTCTTTTGAGTTGTGCAGTTTAATTCACAGAATTTCTACAAAGTATGTTGTATACTGTTAACTTGCAGATTTATTTATTTTTGTCACATCCATAACGCATGTTAATTTCCCTCATTTAAAATACAAAAAATGTTTACAGATTGATATTTTTCTGATCCCACTAGTCTGTGGCTAGATGTTTTGGAAAATATAAACAGATGTTTCAATATAAGGTTAACATACTTCCTCTGTCAATTTATGTTTTGAGATTTTACTGCAAATGTCACATGCATAACGCTGGAATTGCTCGTGTATATATATATATATATATATGTGTGTGTGTGTGTGTGTGTGTAGAAGCTTCATATCAGAATTGGTTTGAGATTATAGGACAATTAAACAAAAATTGTTTTAATTAACTTTTTTTGCAACCATTATTTGTTTACAGATATTAGTGTATATCCTTTTTCTGTCAGTTTTGCGTATAGATACAGAAGTCTGGCATGATGCAGTGTACCGTCAGTGCTGGTGTGTTTTGATGGTTTGTTCAGTGCTGATGTTGAGTTTATTGAAGGTCTAGAGATTAGATCAGTATCCGTGAGTGGCGATTGGTGGAAAATAGATGTGACTTTTTATAGAATACTAGTGTAGATGTCTTGATTAGGGCTGCATGATATATTGCGAAATTATGTCATTATTACAGTGATATGCATATCGCAGACGTGATATATTTTATTTATTTTATTTGTTTATTTTGTTTTATGTGACTAAATTTGACCAATCAGATAGCTCCGCCTATGGGCGCAGTGCTATTGGCTGGAGCAGCTCAAAGCTGAACCCAGAGCTGAAAATAAACATTGAAAGCAGCCTGAATATGAATATCTGCAGAGGTTTTGACTCATTCATAGTGTTTTAACGACTAAATTATTGCACATTGACACAATTTTCAAGTCTGAATTAGAAATAATTACATCCGAAATTCTGATTTTCTGTTTATCTGTTTGTCTTTCATCTCTTTATTTTAATATCATTAAATAAAAAATGATTTAAAAACCGTAATAAAATAGCATTTTTCTTGGGAAATGTTATATGGTAAGAAGGATTGTTATCGCAGTTCTCAACACAAATCAGAGCTCAACAATGAGGACTGCCCGATAGCCCGAGGCCAGTGCGAAAGATGCTTGGGACAGTAGACAGTATCGTTACTGGCCCAATTGGGCTGGTACTGCCTTGTTACTAAAGTTTCATTTGCCTACGACTATTTGTCAATTACAAGCAAATACTTAGTCTTAGAATCGAGAAACAGTTTGTGCTTTTAAGCCTTTAAATGCCGTCATCTCTGTAATGTAGGAAACTGCTTTTCAGTTTCTCTTATCTGATTGGATGTTGTGAGCATGTTAATTTTTCCCATAACCTGGGTTCCGTGCTTCGTAGATCGTTTAAATGATCTATGATTTGGCAGATGCTGGATCTTTTGATCTTGATGACTGATCTCTGGCTAATTTGGTTCTTCAAACAAGTTTGTGAATCAGATTAGAATGTCTGGATAAACTGATCTGAGATCGCTGCGTGTGTTGTGAAGGACAGATCTATCGATCCTCAAAATCATGATCAGCAATCAGCAACGATTGGCTGACGGCACAGCAGCGTAATGACATCATCTGATCAATATTCAATTATTTATGTGAGAAAAATTACATCAAATTAGCAGTAAACGGTTTGTTAAACATGACATGCAATAACTCTCCTCATTTGTCATGAGCTGCAGGCTTTACACTTTCATGTGTCAAGAGTATTCATCATGTGTTTCACTGCATATCAATGTATTTAGTTCTACATTTAGAGAAGATTTTCTTTATTATGCAGGGCTCAACAATAAGGACTGCCTGATGGCCCGGGGCCAGCGTGTGAGATGCTCGGGACAGTAGACAGGATCCTTACTGGCCCGATCGGGCCACAAATGCCCTGTCATTAAAGTTTCATTTGCCTGTGACTATTTGTCAAACGCATGCAAATACAGTCAGAATAGAGAAACCGTTTGTGTTTTTAAGCCTTTAAATGCTACCTTCTCGGTTCCTCGTATCTGATTGGATGTTGTGAGCATGCTATTTTTTTCCGTAACAACCTTTACAGCTAAGAGAGAGCAACATGGCGGCAACATCAAGGGATGATGCTAGAGGAAAACATTTGTCTCTAACGTCTTGGAAGCAGACATTTACGAGGGTACACCACGACAAAAAATAAATAAAAAATTGAAGTGATGTTTTGTACAGTTTGCCGTTAGTTTGGCAGGTCAGTCATCCTTTGTTTTGCAATAAAATACCTGCACATTTTGCTATTTTTGTTTGCAAAACACTTTTAAAAATATTTTATAGTTTTATAGTATATTTTAAATATTAAATATCTAGATTTACAAACATTTTGACCCTTTTTTTTTTATTTGTGGCTAAGAAATAGCTATTAACTCTTTTTGGTGGGGCCAGTGGCAATATTGGCAGGGCAAGTAAAAACCTGAACCACTGGTCCGATCGGGCCAGTAGAAAAAAATCCCTAGCGTTGAACCCTGTTATAGCAGCCCAGACCTACTCAAGTTTTTTAATCAGCGTAAGGAATAACTGTATAAATTAATTTTGCATCAAAAAAGCATTTTGATATCGCTAAAGGTGTCAATTACCGGCATATTAGCAGTCAAAACACGGGCATGACTGCATAAATTATTATCCTTTATTTTGTTTTAAAAGTTGAATATTGTGCATGTACACGTTTGTATCTAAAAAGTTCATATTAATAAATTTCTGTTTGCACCACCTGGTGGCAGTCTTTGTATTTCAGAGTGCAGATTCCATAAGCTTTATTAAAATAGATTTTTAAACTTATATATATTATATATATATATATATATATATTAAGGGTGTCACGATCCTCCAAATCCTCGATTCGATTACATTTTCGATTCTAAAGGCACGATTCGATTTTCAATCGCACAACCTACAGGAACCAGCCAACAGTATCTGAGGTGTTCGCTAAAATGACCAAGTTTAAGTGAGTGAAAGATTGAAGCAGTCCTCTGACTGCCTGAACCCGCTGTCTCGAGCCCATAGCTGTGTGTGTGCGTCTGTGTCTGTGTGTGTGTCAGAGGTAGAGAGGAAGGAGGGCTGCTCAGAAATGCTACACGCCACTGTGGATGTCAAATCGTTGTTGTTCTAAAACGCCATTTAAAAACAAAGACAGTGTAAACAGGGCCTGAGTGTGTACTTTTCGCGAGCGGATTTGCAACGGGGGCGGGTGGAGGATCGCGATGCCGGTGTTGTCTAATGGACGAACCCTAATACGTACATAGCAGAGCTTGCAAAACTGTGTTTTTTTTTTTTGTCGACAACACAAACGTTGTCAACATAACTCACTGGAAATCCAAAATGCTTACACACCGGCGACTTCATTGAAAGAGGAGAGGGTTTAAGCCAGGGGTCTCAAACTCACGGCCCTCAGTGCAATATTTTGTGGCCCGCGCTGACCGCTGTACACTGACAGAATCAGCGGAGCGGGGAGAGAGAGAGCGCTCCCCGCTCCGCTGATTCTATCCGTACACAGCGGTCACTGGCATTTCCCGCCCGCCGTGTAAACAAAGGGGCGGGGATGCCGGTGACATCACCACCCACGCCTTTGTTAGACGCTGTGACGGGCGGGAAGTTAGGAGGGAACTCGCGCCGGTCAGAACCAAGGTAAGCTGTTCCCGCCCCTGCCTGCCACTTAGCTACCTATCTGCAGCCTGCCACCTACCTAGCTACAGCCTGCATCTTATATATATTATAGGTAGATACAGACTGGCACAGACTGATGTGACTGGAGTGGGGTGGGGGTGTTTTATTTATACATATATATACGCCTTTTTTTTAGGTGAGGGAATGGAAGTTTTGAGTGAGTTCCCCCAAGCCATACTGAGGGTCTCAACTGCTTCCGCTCTAAAGCCAAATGTGGTTCAGATTTGTGAGAAGAAGCGCTGTCAAGTCTCTGGCAGCAAGGAGTAGGCAAAAGATGCCATGTTCAGAAGAACTGTTCATAATCTTCACTCAATGTTCAATTAATGTTCAGGACACTTCATGTTCAGAAGAAATAATTAAAACTGTTAATAATGACATTTGAGGCCTTTTTTTGAGAAATCCCTTATGCGGCCCAGCCTCACCCAGACTTTGCCTCCTGCGGCCCCCAGGTAAATTGAGTTTGAGACCCCTGGTTTAAGCTCTGTCGACGGGTCTCCTGTGTCTGCAGTTTAACAAGCACTTCAACAAGCCTGTTTTTTCCCCCTTGGCAAGCCAAGCTGACGTGACATGGGGGCGTGGCAGCATCGACGATTCTATTTTTTGATTCGATAATCGAAATTGAGCATAAATTTCGATCGATTTCGATTATAAATATATAAAATATTTAAATATAATAAAATATATAATCGTGACACCCCTAATATATATATATATATATATATATATATATATATAGAGAGAGAGAGAGAGAGAGAGAGAGAGAGAGAGTTAAAAATATATTTACTATTTTCCCAAGTGTATATAA